CCCCCACCTGATCCTGGAGCCCCCACCCCTACCCCATGCAGGCCCTGGGCAGAGAAGAGGGCAGAGGGGAAGCATTGGCACGGGCGAAAGGCGAGGCGGTCAGAGGGGGTTCTCAGTGCTGGGGTTCAGGCAAGGGAGCCCCTGCGCGTGCACCCCCCCTTCCTGGGAGTAAGAGAAGGGGGCAGACAGACTCCTCTCCCTGGCCAGTCCCTATTGCACAGTCCGGGGGGTGGGGGTGGCGGGCGGAGGGCCCCGGGTGCCGATCCTTCGAGGGGCCCCGGCCGGGGTTAAGACTCTTCGGTGGTGGCCTGGCACAGTCGGGCTCCGGCTAAGTGGCCACGCTCCGCTTCTGGGAGGCTTCCAGCTCCTGCCGCTGCTTCAGCTCCTTCATCCTGCATGGGAGGCAAGGCAAGAGCATGACCCCCCCCTTGCAAGTGCTCCCCTCCGACAGCCCCCGATTCCAATCAGACCTCCTGTAAGTTTGCAAAGGGCAGCAGGGTGCCCCTCAGGAAACAACTGCCAATGACTCGAGCCAGTGAGCCATGCTGCATATTTCCCCTTGAGAGAAATTGGGGTGGGCGGGCAAATGGCTTCCTCGTCCCAAATAAGCCCTTTGGTCATCAGGCACTCTCAAGAACAGGGGACTGAAGAAGAAGAAGAAGAGATTGGATTTATACCCCACCCTTCACTACCCAAAGGTGTCTCAGAGCGGCTTACAACCTCCTTTCCCTTCCCCTCCCCACAACAGACACCCTGTGAGGTAGGTGGGGCTGAGAGAGCTCTGACAGAAACTGCTCTTTTCCAAGAACAGCTCTTATCAAAACTATGGCTTGCCCAAGGTCATCCAGCCAGGTGCGAGTGGAGGAGTGGGGAATCGAACCCGGTTCTCCCAGATTAGAGTCCGCGCACTTTACCACGACACCAAACTGGCTGGGCACAGTGTCCTGATGGAAGCGCAAGATCACATCTCAAGCTCTTCTGGAGTCCAACAGGCCCCGGGGATAAAAGGGAATCCAGTTTTTCCAGAATCTGAAAACGCATCCCGCAAATCCCACTCCTGGGGAGAACCCCGATTTCAGGCCTCCCAGACTCACCACCACATCTGGCGTTCCTAATCTCTTTATGGGGACACGGACCGTCCTGTAGCTGAGTCTCCAGGGACTCAGGCAGAGAAGCGCCCTGCCCAGCGCCAGAGAGACTGCCAGGGACTGAGCAGGCCAATCCGGGACTCTGCACCAGCTAGCCCAGGAGAAGGATTTCCCTGCTGAGAAACGGGCCCGAAGCCTGAATCCACTCTGGCGACAGAGCTGGGCCGTCTATCTATACCTTGTGACTAATAGCCACCGATGGACCTCTGCTCCATATGCTTATCTAATTCCCTCTTGAAGCCATCCATGCTTGTAGTCACCACCACCTCCTGTGGCAGTGAATTCCAAGTGTTAATCACTCTTTGGGTGACGAAGGACTTCCTTTTATCTGTTCTAACCCGACCGCTCAGCAATTTCATGGAGTGCCCACGAGTTCTTGTATTGTGAGAAAGGGAAGAAAGTACCTCTTTCTCTACCTGTTCTATCCCGTGCATAATCTTATTTCATGGAGTGCCCACGAGTTCTTGTATTGTGAGAAAGGGAAGAAAGTACCTCTTTCTCTACCTGTTCTATCCCATGCATAATCTTATAAACCTCGATCGTGTCACCCCTCAGCCGTTGTTTCTCCAAGCTAAAGAGCCCCAAGCGCTTTAACCTTTCTTCACAGGGGAAGTGTTCCAACCCTTTGATCATTCTAGTTGCCCTTTTCTGCACTTTATCCAAAGCTATAATATCCTTTTTAAGGTGTGGTGGCCAGAACTGTACACAGTATTCCAAATGAGGTCGCACCATTGATTTATATAGGGACATTGTGATATTGGCTGATCTGTTTTCAATACCCTTCCTAATAATCCCCAGCATAGCATTGGCCTTCTTTATTGCAGTCACACACTGTCTCGACATTTTCAGTGAGTTATCCACTACAACTCCAAGATCTCTCTCTTGATCAGTCTCTGCCAGTTCAGACCCCATCAACGTGTATTTATATTTAGGATTTTTGGCTCCAATGTGCATCACCTTGCACTTGGCCACATTGAACCCCATTTGCCATGTTGACGCCCACTCGCCCATCCTTGACAGATCCCCTTGGAGTGCCTCACAATCCTCACTGGTTTTCACCACCCTGAACAACTTTGTATCATCCGCAAATTTAGCCACTTCACTGCTTACTCCCAACTCCAAATCATTAATGAACAAGATAAAAAGCAGTGGACCAAGTACTGATCCCTGCGGTACCCCACTGCTTACCACCCTCCACTGAGAAAATTGCCCACCTACACTCACTCTCTGTTTTCTATGAACTAGCCAGTTTTTGATCCATAAAAGAACTTGTCCTTCTATCCCATGATTTTTGAGCTTACTTAGGAGCCTTTGATGAGGAACTTTATCAAAAGCTTTCTGGAAGTCAAGGTAAATAATATCTATTGGATCCCCCTTGTCCACATGTTTGTTCACCCCCTCAAAGAACACTAACAGGTTAGTGAGACAAGATCTTCCCTTACAGAAACCGTGCTGAGTCTGCCTCAATAGGTTTTGTTCATCTATGTGCCTACTAATTCTTTCCTTAATAATGGTTTCCACCAATTTACCCGGTATCGACGTCAGACTGACTGGCCTGTAATTTCCCGGATCTCCTCTGGAACCCTTTTTAAAGATGGGAGTGACATTAGCTACCTTCCAATCCTCAGGAATGGAGGCAGATTTTAAGGAAAGATTACATATCTTTGTCAGGAGATCTACAAGTTCACATTTGAGTTCTTTCAGAACTCTCGGATGTATGCCATCTGGGCCTGGTGATTTTTCAGTTTTTAAGTTGTCTATCAGTTTTAGGACCTCCTCTCTCATCACCTCAATCTGACTCAGGTCTTCCAACACCCCTCCTGAAATCAGTGGTTCTGGAGTGGGCAAGCACTTCTCATCTTCCACAGTGAAGACGGAGGCAAAAAATGCATTTAGCTTCTCAGCCATTTCCCTATCATCCTTCAATACTCCTTTTACCCCTTGGTCGTCCAAGGGCCCCACTGCCTCCCTGGCTGGTTTCCTGTTTCTAATGTATTTGAAGAAAGTTTTATTGTTGGTTTTTACGTTTTTTGCTATATGCTCCTCATATTCCCTTTTTGCCTGCCTGACCTCAGACTTGCATTTTATTTGCCATAGCCTGTGTTCCGTTTTATCAGCCTCACTGTGACTAGCTTTCCACTGCTTAAAGGAATTCTTTTTACTTTTTACAGCCTCCATTACTCTGTTTGTTAACCATGCCCCCCCCGTACCTGTGCCGGCAGCGCCGCAGGAACCGCATGATCTTGCGAGCGGCCTGATCTTGCTTCTTGGTGAGAAAAGTTCCCCTGTTGAGAGGAGAGCGACAGAGGTGTCATGGGGTGGGGGGGAGGCGCCTCATGGAAAAGCCAGACTGGGGCCCAGCCCCTCCTGCGCTCCAGACTCCTTGCAGGGGGGGCCAAGAGCACAGCTGCAGTTCCCCCATCTGCCAGATGAGAACAAGAGCGGCCAGCCTCGCAGGGCCGTCGCGTAGCACTGGCAAACACAGCCGTGATTGGCACAAACAATCCAGTGGGCCGCAAAAACGAGACCTCTCGAAGGCCAGCTGGGATTCGTGGGGGGAGGGGATGCTGCTGACCCCCCATGAAGTGACACAGCGGGGCTCCCAAGTGTGCCAGGGGCCTCCCTGGGTCAGACCGATGCAAGCGTCCCGGGCCACGCTCCCTCTCCGCTGCGGAGTCCTCTTGTGAGCAAACATTCTACTTTGTGAGCCACGGGCATTAATGCTGTGAGCGAGCGATTTAGCCGCTGCGTAAATCAGTCTGCTCTGGAGCCCCATCCTTCCTGAGCTGAGACAAAAACATGTCAGCTGGAGGCTAAAGAACTGTGAGCTGGCTCACACTCACTCAACCTAGAGGGAGCACTGGTCTCGGGGCCCAGCAAGTGCTTGGAGCTGCAGGGGGCGGGTGCCCAGCAGGGAGCTGTGGCCTCTCTGCCTTCTGCTTCTTCCCCACCACGCTCTCCTCCTGCGCTCCCATGAGGGGGCCTCACTTTCCTGCTCCCTCTCCCACAACCCCGAATCCAGGACGGGCAGTCTGAGGAGGAGGCCCTGCCTTCTGTCGCTGTCCCCTCTGCAGGCGGGGGTGGACGAGGGAGCCGGCCAGGGGTCCCTAGACGGCACCAGGAAAAAACTCCTGCGGCATCCATGGGGGGGTGGGGACACATCACAGGGCTAAAATTGCCGGGGGGGCCCCGCCTCTGAGAGAGAGCCCAGCGCCGGGCCCAGGCAGGGAGCCAGCCGGGGAATGGAACAGGCAGCCACGTGCTGAGAGAGACGGCCAAGCAGGTGGGCGCCACGCCACCCAGGCCGGGAGAGGGAGGGGCTGGGCCAGGGCGACGCCGGCGGAGAGGCCTTCCCTCCCTCCCTCCCTCCCGGCACCCACTTTATCTTCTGCTGCATGGCCGCTGCGGCGCGGTGCCCTGGCTTCAGCTTCTCGTACTCCTTGTAGCTGCGGTAGTACTGCTGGATCAGGACCGCGGCCCGCCGGCTCTGCTGGAACTTCTTCTGCTCGTAGTAGCTGCGGAACTTGCTCTGGATTAAGATGGCCGCCTGCGTCATCTTCTTGTAGAGGGCGTACTGTGCCGGGGAGCAGAGGGTGGGGGGGGGCATTAGCTCACGAGCGAGGGGCTCCCTTGAGGCATCCCCCCCCCCTCAAGATCCCAACCAGGGGTGGCTTGCGGCGTATGCAGACCCTGCCCCGGCACCCTCCTCAATGGCCAAGAGCACCTGGGCCCCCTGGGACGGCTTTGCACCCCTCCAGCGTAAAAGGTGTCTTACCAGGGAGGGAGGGAGGGGAGGGAAGCTCTGCTGACTCCCCCCTCCCCCCCCGAAGGCCCACCCTCTGGCCTGCAGATATGCCAGGACCCTAAAGCCAGAGCCAGAGGGGAACGCAGCCAGGACAGGGCCTGTAAGTTCTTGCTGCCTACTCACACACACACCCCTTCTCCACGAACCCCTCCCCCCCCCGTTTGTGCCCCCCAGCAGCAGAGAGACACTTTTCCTAAAAGGGGCTGATTAAAGCTCCTCTGGGACCCCCTCTCCCTTGCCCTGGTGCTGGCAGAAGCAATGCCACCCCCACCCCACCCTCCCCGTTTACCTTCAGAGCAATCCAGGTAAGCTTGCAAGACAGAGAGAGAGAGAGGAGAGGGGGCATTGGTTAGTTGGCGGGGGGGGGGCTGCGTGTGAGCGAGTGAGTGTGTGATCCCAGAGGTTCCCTGGTGGGGCTTTTGGGGGGCAGTGCATGCCATCCGGGGCAGAAACAACAGCTCTGAGGACACCCGCCCCAATCCTTGGACCCATTCCGAGGCTATACCTGCTTATACTTGCGGTAGCATCTCTGGATGACTGCGGCCGCCACCTCTTGCTGTTCCTTCAGCCGGCGACCCTGTAAGAGATTGCGGGGGGGGGGGGGG